TTTATTCTTTCTTTCGATTAATTCTCACTTTCTGTTTTGAATTTTACTTCTTTTTATTTTCCTTATTTTTCACATAACATATATTCCCGTACAAATAAGACACCTTTTTCTTCCCAAACATTTTTTCTTTCTTAAACTCGCAAAGGATTATTTTCCTTCTCACAAACGCGGTCATTTCCTCACCCTTGATGTGATTTCTTTCTATCCACCAAACATTTCTTTCCCCATCTCCAAAAAGATTTTTTTCGTTCCACCAAATTGATTCGTTTACTGACTCTCGAAAAATGTTTCCTTTACTCCTCGTAAATTTGATACCTTTTCTATTCCAAATACAATTCTTTCATTTCCCTGAAAAAAGGTTCCTATGTTTCACAGAAAATATTTCCTTTCCTCTCTACTAGAAAAATTAATAATTTTCTCCTCTTGGCATGTTGTCTTTTCTGCGCTAAAATAGATTATTTCCCTTGTTTTCAAAAGAATACCATTTCACCTGCTAAACATGATTTTCTACCCAAAAAATATATTCTTACTTCAGAGCCAAAAACTTTCCTCTCTTTCCACCAAAATCTTTTTCTTTCTACTCTGTCCAAAAAGGATTACGTTTTCTTCTCCCCAAGATTCTTCTCTCAGCCTAAAATGATTCCTCTCCTTACACCCAAAATGATTTCTTTACTCCCTACTCCAAAAAAGGGAAAAAAAATGATTCCTTTCGCTTCCGAAATATGTTTTGTTTTCTACCTCAAACAGGATTATTTCTTCATCCCGAAAAGGATTCCACACCTTGCTGTAAAATTATTTCTTTCCTTCATGTTTGAAAAAAAAAAATTCTTTATCTAAATATGATTCCATTTCTACCAAAATATGATCCTTTCTTCTGATCAAAATGGATACCTCTTCTTCCCCAAAATGTTTGCTTTTATTCCCACTCGAAAAATTATTCCTTTCTCTACTGAAATATGGCTCCTTCTCTACCCCAAACAGGATTCTTTCCTCATCCCGAAAACGTTTCCTCTCCATCCACCAAAATGTTTACTTTCGACTTCATTCAAAAATTCCTTTTCTCCTCCTAAGCATAATACTTTTCCTACCCCAACCACGATTCTTCCTTTAGCCCAAAAAGGATTCCTCTCCTTATACCAAAATTATTTCTTTCCTCCCGACTTGAAAAAAATAATTCTTTCTCTTCTGCTAAATATAATACCCTCCGTTCGAAACATGAATCTTTCTTCTCTCCTTAAAAAGATTCCCTAAAATGGAATAATTTATGCACCCCACCAAATTATTCCGTTCCTCTTCCATATGTTATTCCGATCCCTTTATTTCCCCCAAAATGACCCCTTTCTTCCCCTGCACATTATTTCTTTTATCCATCCCGTGAAATAGAATTCTATTCTTCCTCCGCAAAACGAGTCCTGTTTTTGCCAATTAAACGCGATTCCTTTACTTCTTACAATAATAATTCCATTCCTCCACAAAAAAAAAAAAAAAAATTCTTTTCGTATTCAAAACCATCAGTTCTTTACTGCTCACCAACGCCAGACACTTTTCAAATCAAACACCAACTGCTGTTTTTATATCCTCTTAAAAACAAACAAAAACAAGTAAAAAAGAAACAAAAAACAAAAAAAAACAAAAACAGTTGGTCACACAATTTACTGGCCGTCTTTATTCTGACCAGCCATTGTGTCCAACACAGCGATGCATATAAATGAACATGTGACAGCCTCGGCTCGAAAGCGACAGCTCTTCTCATCTCATCTACATTGAGACTTCAAAGACGGTCTCACCTCAAAGCATGTGTGGCAAACGTCAGATGGGTTTGTAATATTCGTAATGGATAGAGTCACTTAAGTTGTGGACGGAAAGAAGATCGGAGAGTAAGGTGTTGGCAAATAAGGAAAATGGAGAGTAAGGATACAAGAGACGGAGTAAAGTCTGATATGTAAACATTATAGAATATTGAGAGGACAGTCATACGTAGAGAGGCTAAAGTGCTCTCGGCACTAATAACTTCCCAAATTATGACCAAATGAAAGAACGTTATATTTTATGTAGTTAGAGCAGTTCCTTTGTAGGGAGGAAACATTTGAGAAATACTAGTATATATATATATATATATATATATATATACACATATATATTTATATAAATATATATATATATATATAAAGTATATATATATATATATAATATATATATATATATATATATATATATATATATATATATATATATAAAGACTCAATATTCGCTTGAACATGAAATGGAACAAAATTATATTTGAAGTTTTTAGCATCCATTTTTGAAACATGGTTATTACTGTGTAGCGAAAAAAAACATATTTTAAACCAGTTATATATATATATATATATATATATATATATATATATAATTGAATCTACGAATTAATCCTCTTATATCTGTAAACATGGTACCGAAGCCATCGCCTATTATACACTAGTTCTACTCCTAATACAAGATTCATTTTAGTCAACTTCCCTTTGAATATTGAATGTAGACCTAACTTATGATAATCTATCCCTACTTCTGTAAAGGTAATAATATTATAATCTTAGTTTCATTGTAACTACCTTTAGTCTTTAGTCTTTTTAGTTTCATGGAACCTACCTCTATAATTATTCCATTAGCTGATCCAAATGAGACTACTTTAACCCTTCAAATAATAACACCTTATAGACGATAATACAAGTAAAATAGAAATTAGAGGTTAAAGTGTTCTCGGCACTAATAACATCCCAATGTCTGACCAAATGAAAGAACATTATATTTTATGTAGTTAGAACAGTTCCTTTCTAGGAAGGAAAACATTTGAGAGAAATACACACACACACACACACACACACACACACACACACATATATATATATATATATATATATATATATATATATATATATATATATATATATATATATATATGTATGTATGTATGCACATTTCATTGAAAACGAGAGACAAGGTGCTTTTATTTAGTTTTTTATACAAGTACTCATGCGATCTAATAATTTATTTCTTTTCGGATGATAAATTATATAAAAACTGTCCGAATATTCTTTTTATCCGTGCGCTTTCGGCTATACATTTAGCCATTTTCAAGGATTATATTTTAACTGTTAAAATAAGAAATAGTTTGTTGTATGTATGTTTTAAAAAATGTTTGCATTTTTTTTTTGTTTCAAAACACGGTCAAGATATTATGTCCATGTTCAAAGTTAGTATTATTAAGTGTTGGTTTGTTTGTTTTTATTAATAAGGCTTCCATTATTTTTAGCCTTTTTTTTTTGCATGCAGATGATGCTATTATATTAGTGTTGTCAACAAGTATGTTCCGAAAACATTTTCTAAACTAGTCATCAGTATTTAAGTTTAATTCCAATATTAAACCTTAACCCCTGGGTGGCAGTTTCAGTCTCAAGCATTGTTTTTGGAATAACTATGGTATGGAATCTTTTACTCATTTATAGTTTTAAATGGAGATGTGGTCTGGGGGTTTCTTTTTTTCTTTATCAAGGGGTCAACTGCTTTGTCACATGCCACGGCTGGATCCATAACTTCGGTCATTATTTCTTTGACGTCGTCAGTCTTAAAATGTCAGCGTCCAGAGCCGGCGAAAGTATTTATTTACGAGATTAAGCATTTGAAGGATTTCCATTGCATATATCGCCATTGCCTATGCCATTGCTCGGTCATTATTTCAACAATTAACCTCTCCTACGATTATGATCCGAAGTTCTTTCGTATTTTTGTTTTTATTTAAAGTAGAGCCTAGATTATAATTATCTTTTTTTAAATATGATTCCATCGTGACACAGCAATTACTATATTTCGAAACTGGTCATCAGTATTTAAGTTTAATTCCAATATTAAACCTTAACCCCTGGGTGGCAGTTTCAGTCTCAAGCTTTGTTTTGGAATAACTATGGTATGGAATGTTTTACTCATTTATAGTTTTAAATGGAGATGTGGTCTGGGGTTTCTTTTTTTCTTTATCAAGGGGTCACTGCTTTGATGGAAGTAGGGATGTTTGTGGTATGTCAAGTTTTTGGAGTTGTGTAAGGTTGGATTTCGGATCATCAATCTAACAGTTCTTTCCTATTATATCAATATATACGCACGTACACACACACACACATATATATATTATTATTATTATTATTATTATTATTATGTTTCATTAAAGACGATTGACAAGGGACTGCGATTAAATATACATGGAAAACAAAAAAGTTCATCCGCAATAAACTAGTAGAAATAGAAGTATAATAATCTCATCCACAAGTAAAAAAAAGATTTAAAAAAATGAAAGCACTAATAATAAAATAAAGGAAAACCCCACAGGCAATAACATTAACTACGAACACGGCCACAACTTTCTGACAGTGTTTGGAAAAAAGATTCCTATAATGTCAAGCACTTATATAAAAAAAACACACGTATTCAGTTAAAAATGAAGATAAAAATCGTCCTTGATAATGACTAAAATAATAGCCGAAAGGGCTTGGATATGAAGAACTTTTCGAGAGTATTTACACACTTTGTGTCCAGAAAAGAACACAAGGAAAAAAATATTAAAAATTTTAATCGCAGTAACTTGACAGCAATCCTTCCTTTATACAGATTTCGTTAAAGACACCTATCAAGGTACAGCGATTTTATGATAATTCTTATTTTATTTTACGGCAATTTTTTAAGATATTTTGTAACTATGCATAATACGCACCCCTGATTTTGTATATTATTAGGTTGGTGCTAAAATAATTTCGTTTTCTCACATAGTAACATATCTTAGAAAACGAAATTATTTTGGCACCAACCTAATATTTTTTTTAGAAAACAAATGCGTATTATACATGGGGAATTACGGTAAATAATGAATTTAGAAAAAATAAAAGCAATGATAAAAAATAAACTGTCTGCATAATAGCCAGAAATTAGACGAAAAAATAATTAACACATCGATAGCCATCACCTATTGACAAATGTTTTTACTATACGGATGGAGGCGTTTACACAAGAGTCGACCGTTCGCTACTAATATCTGTGTGTCTGTGTGTCCGTTCATCGCTTGTCTGGAGAAGTCAGCATCGTTCGTTCAACGAGGCAGTTGAAATGTTTCTTAAATTAGCCTCGATGTGTATACCTATGCATATGTGCTTCTGTGTTTATATATGTGCCTAGCAGTATATGTACGGACACTTATGAGCACGTATATATGTGCAAATATATATACCATGAAGTCGTATGTATATACAGGTGCATGTGTGCATGAAGGAAGATGTGTAAATTTATAGGCATTTTTACACACACACACACACACACATTCATATATATATATATATATATATATATATATATATATATATATGGATGTGTGTGTAAAATGTAAAATTATATTAATAAATAAATTATAAGTATTTTAAAATGGTGAGCTTTTTTTTTTTCAATCACCCTATATAGAGAGATTGTGCAGCCAAATTTAGTGCTGACTGGGCCATCGTGTTGTCCCGGTCACACTCTTTATTTCATCTAAAGGTTCTGGAGGCACTTTACATCGGGTCCCTTAAGCCTTCTTTGTGCAAACAACGTGAGTGTTTGTTGGGGATCGCTGTCATTTATCTCTAGTTCCTTTTGCTATTTTTTTTATTTTATTTTTTTTTCCTCCCACAACTTCCTTTTATTGTACATTTTTCTGTGTTTAATTTTAAATTAAATCTCCCGTTGAAGCCTGAAGAGCGGGAGCGAAACCTGTTCCTTCGCCCGTTTTTAATATGTCTAGTAATATTAAGTTTTACACTTTTATTTCGATCATTAAATTTTGTACCTACAAAAATATCTTTAAATATATATATATATATATATAGATAATATTAGTGGAAAATATACATACATATGAAAATATATCTAAAAATTCCTATACATGTATATTTTCAGAAAAAATTTTCCAAGAGGAAGGATCCAGGTAGAACTCAATGTCTAGGACAGAGTAAGGATATAATAAAAAGGCTTAAACACTAATATTCCATGGTCATAATTTATTCCATTGGAATCGTAAATACGATCCAAATCATCAGACCTACAAATTCAAAAAAAAAAAAAAAAAAAAATCGTATTTACGATTCCAATGGATTAAATTATGACCATGGAATATTAGTGTTTAAGCCTTTTTTTTTTATATATATATATATATATATATATATATATATATATATTATTTTGTATGTGCAGTACTTTGTGGAAAGCGCTCAATATCAGTGATAGAGCTAAATCTAGTTATTATGGAGTTTGTGACCTTGGATTTCACGCTTTTGTGACCATCAGACACACTGGTTCATTTTATGTATGATGATCGCAAAAGCGTTAAACCCAGGGTCACAAACTCATATCCATACAAGTGAATATATCTATCTATCTATCTATCTATCTATCTATCTATATATATATATATATATATATATATATATATATATATATATATATATATATATATATATATATATCGTGATTGAAATGTAACTCCCCGTTTTAAAATACTTATACTTTATTTATTAATATAAATTTTAGAAGAAATAAATATGAGAGGAAAGCAGTTAGCATAAGGTTTTATTTAAAATTCGATATGGACACCAGATGTCGCTACCGGCTTCCTCAGCCGAGAAGGAATCGTGTCAACTGATTTCACCAGGAACTCTTATAGTATGGAAGACATAACTTCTTGTATTCGCCCTCCAAGTTCTTTCAAAATCTTGCTTTGATATAGTAGAATTGCTATTTTAACAAACCCCAAAGAAAAAGGTAACAGGCTGTTAAGTCAGGACTCCTAGCTCGCCACTCATGCATAAAATAAGGAGTTACTTTTAATCACCCTGTGTTTGTGTATATATATATATATATATATATATATATATAGTATTCCATAATAATGCGGACATCTTGGATTATAAATATGACATAGAGTAGCAACTATTTTTATTACATAACTCATTAACCGATATACAATAGTTCAACATTTGGCTTTAGTGATGCCGTTTCTAAAGCCATTTCCTCGAAGTGTTATGCCAACACAGGTGACAAAGTTGAACCCATAGCTAACCCTTTCACTGCTGATATTAATAGTGTTTAGTAATGTAAATGATAATATTAGCTGTTTCCTTACAAGGAAACATTTGGCATTCATTGACTCAGCAGCCAGTACTGTTTTCTGTTGAAATTTATGAAACAATTTTTTAAAAAGGGTTTCTCTCGACCAGTTGCTGTTATCGTTCTTTTCAGTATTGACAGTTGTTTTCTTAACTTTTTATTTGGATTTTTGTAGAATGTTTTGATCTTGATTATTTCATTATTTTGTATTCGAGTTACATGTGCTATCCGTTTTATGTGTTACTGCTGCTGGCAGTCCTCAAGTGATGTGGTTTTTGGTATTTAGTACAATTCTTTGTTTAGGGTGTGTTCAAAGATTTGTTGTTGCCGTATCTACCTATCTTTCTGTCTGTCTATCTATCTGTCTATCTATCTGTCTATCTATCTATGTATCTATCTATCTATCTGATTTTGCTCATATTCTATCTATCTATCTATCTATCTATCTATCTATCTATCTGACTGTTCATATGTATCTACCTATCTAGCGCATTCTGTTGATATCTCTGTAACCGTTTATCTCATTCTTTTAATATCTATCTATCTATTATCTATCTATCTATCTATCTATCTATCTATCTATCATCTATCCATATCTATCTATCTATCTATTCATCTATCTATCTATCTCATCTATCTATATCTATCATATCTATCTATCTATCTATCCGGTTCGGTTCATATCTATCTATCTATCTATCTTTCACAATCTGCTTATATGCTTCTCTCCCAGTTTCTTTCTTTTCGCGATAATCAATGCAAGTATTTACAGATACGAGGATATTGGCGAGTGGTGATGTTTCGTCTAATATCCGAATAAATTGGCTTGGGGTGGAGCGAGATGTAATGGCATATCACTCTCTAATATCTCCCATGACACACATCTAAGCCGTGCTTGCCCCACCCCCACTCAAGCCTCTACTTTAATTCTAACACAGGTTCCCTCCTTCCTAATTCCCTCTGTGCCCCTTTCGTAGGGTCTTGTTCTTTTGACATGATTTCGCTGCCTCATTTGAAATCTAGCTGATTATTTTCGCTGCTTTTACCATTTTTTTCTTGTAAAATTAGATTTTTTTAAAAACTTTTTTAATTTTATTCTTAATCCTACACTTTGTCTTTAATCTCTCTCTCTTTCTCTCTCTTTTTTCTCTCTCTTTTTTCTCTCTCTTTTTTCTCTCTTTCTTTTTCTCTCTCTTTAAATAAAAAAAAGAAAGAAAAAGAAAAAGTCTTTAATCAACACGATTATCAAGTCTCTCAATCAGACACGCTTGGCCTTCTTCTCTTTCCCTTCCAGATATACATTTAATAATTGTTTCCTTCTTTCCGAAATAAAAAAAAATTGAACTGTAAAATATTTTGCATCTTTTCTCACTCTTTCATCAATGCTTTACACACACACACACACACACACACACACACACACACAAATATATATATATATATATATGTGTGTGTGTGTGTGTGTGTATGAAGAGAGAGGGGGTTGTAGTAAAAGAGAGAGCGAGAGAAAAAGAGGCTAATATTTTATTGGTCTCTTTAAAATTGAGATATCATGCTAACTATCCCTCACTTTCCCCTCCTCGATTTCTGTCGTGATAAATATCATTTACTTTCATCTCGAATATCTTTCTACTTTTTCTTTCTTTCGTTATTTCTTTCTTTCTTTTTCTCGAATGCCATTCTCATTTTGTTATATTTCCGATATATTTTTCTTCGCTTCGTTCTATATTTCTTTCCTTTTTATCTTTTTCTTTCCGACATTTCCTTCCTTTCTTTCTCTCTTTCTTTCTTTCAATCTTTCTTTCTTTTTTCTCGAATGCCTTTCTCATTTTTTTACATCCGATATTTTCTTCTTCGTTTAATTCCTTTTTTCTTTCTTTTTTGTCTTTTTCCTTATGACGTTTTCATTCTTTCTTTTTCTCTTACCTTTTTTATTTCCTTTCTTTCTTTCTTTCTCGTTTTTTCTTTCTTATATTTTCTTTCTTCGTTTCCTTCTTTCTTTCTTTCTATAAAATGTATTTCTCATATTTTTTCCAATATTTTCTTTCTTTCTTTCTTTCTTTCTTTCTTTCTTTCTTTCTTTTTTCTCCTATGGTTCTTTTCTTCAGTGATTCCTTTGTCTGTTTTCTCTTTCTTTCTTTCTTTCTTTCTTTCTTTCTTTCTTTCTTTCTTTCAAAAATTTTCTTTTTTTTCCTATCTTTCTTTTTTCTTCAGTGATTTTTGTCTTTTTTTTCTTTCTTTCTTTCTTTCTTTCTTTCTTTTCTTTCTTTCTTTTTTTTTTTTCAAAATCCTATGGTTCTTTTCTTTTGATTCCTTTGTCTTGTTTTTTCTTTTTTTTTTCTTTCTTTCTTTCTTTCTTTCTTTCTTTCTAATGCTTGTATTTATTTCAAAATGTTCTTTTTCCTTTCTTTCTTTCGTTCTCTTATTTTTTCTTTTTGTTACTTCTTTCTTTCTTTCTTTCTTTCTTTCTTTCTTTCTTTCTAATGCTTGTATTTATTTCAAAATGTTCTTTTTCCTTTCTTTCTTTCGTTCTCTTATTTTTTCTTTTTGTTACTTCTTTCTTTCTTTCTTTCTTTCTTTCTTTCTTTCTAATGCTTGTATTTATTTCAAAATGTTCTTTTTCCTTTCTTTCTTTCGTTCTCTTATTTTTTCTTTTTGTTACTTCTTTCTTTCTTTCTTTCTTTCTTTCTTTCTTTCTTTCTTTCTTTCATTCTTTCTTTACTTCTACTTTTCTTTGTATTTATTTATCTCTAAGAATTTCTTTACTTTCTTTTTTACTCGTATTCCATTTTTTTTGGGGGGGGGCTTTTCCCTTTCATTTTTTTCGAATGTGTTTCATTTTGCGTATTTTTCTTCACTTTCTTTCTTTCTTACTTTCTTCTTCTCCTTTGTTTACACAATTCTTCACTCTTTCTTTCCATCTCTCTTCATGTCCACCATCATTCTGACAATTGCCATCTACGTAACTTGTCTATCTGAACCCACCCACTACAGACCCCATCGACCTCTTTTAGCCTCGAACTAAACCACACCATGCTCGTGGACTATGTATCAAGGGGTTGCATGTGGAACAGCATCGAAAAATTAACTCGACTGGTTGTTCACCCGTAGGGAAATTACCATCGCTTATTTTTCCGCAAGTTTACATGACAATTCAGCTCCCTGCATACAGCTGTTCACACATAACAATACTTACATAGACGTAGTTATACACATATACATACACACACGTACACAGACAGACAGACATAAAGAAACACACCCACATATATCTATCTATCTATCTATCTATCTATCTATCTATCTATCTATCTATCTATCTATCTATATCTATATATATATATATATATATATATATATATATATATATATATATATATGTGTGTGTGTGAAAAGTGTATATAAATATAAATAAATATATATATATATATGTATAATTATTTATATATTATATATGGTACTTATTAGAAAGCGCTCAATATCAGAGATAGAGCTAACATATTTGATTGGATAGATGTGAGTTTGTGACCCTGGGTTTTAGCGATCGTCAGACAAACGATCGCTAAAGCGTGAAACCCAGGGTCATAAACTCACATCTATCCAATATATATATATATAAATATATATATATATATATATATATATATATATATATATATATATATATTTCATTTGCTCGGAAAATAATGTCTGATTATAGAATCAACCTTTTAATTGTGTTCTAAACTATTATTAGTATAATAGTTTCACATAAATATATTACTCATTCCTAATGATTAAAGTATCCTCTTTGTTAATTTTATATCAATCTTTTTCTGAATATTGTTCTCAAATACCTGACGCACCCTCTGTACACATTGGGAAATAGTATTAGTTTGTTTGGAAAATAATGTCCGATTTTTGTATCAGCCTCTTAATTTTGTTCTAATCTATTATTAAAATACTTTCACATAATTATATTATTCATTCCTAATGATTAAAGCGTCCTCTTTATTAAGTTTATACAAATTTCTTCCAGAATATTGTTCGCTAATATCTGACGCACCCTCTGTATACGCTCGAAAATGGTATTAGGCTGTTCGTAAATAATGTCCGATTTTAGTATCAGCTTCTTAATTGTCCACTACTCCACCGTGCCTCCTCTGTCTGTCTGTCTGTCTGTCTGTCTGTCTCTCTCTCTCTCTCTCTCTCTCTCTATATATATATATATATATATATATATATATATATATATATATATACCTGTGAATGTATATATATATATATATATATATACACACACATATATATATATGTAATGCTGGTAATAAAACCAATTTTTACACCCCTAATGTTTCGGGGTCAACTATTTGCCCATAGCTGAGGCCCTAACAGGTGCTACCACCCGTGGTCAGGGTGAATCTGGGAACACCAGCAATTAAGAGGTGGTTCCACGCTCCTCAAAACCTCCTGATCAGATGTCTTCCTGTTGGATATAGTTTATCGTTTTACCCAGGACGCGAACGTAGTTTATCGTCCTACCCAGGACGCTGATGAAGTTTATCTTCATACCCAGGATGTGGATGTAGTTTATCGTCAAACCCCGGACGGCTGTTATATGGAATGGATTATTTCTTAATATATGCTCTAAATGGGACCTTAAAGAAAAAAAAAACATATTTTGTGGTTATATAATCTTTTATATACGTTCTTAAATGTTTCCCTTATATATTTTTGGAAAGATATCGAAAATAGTTTTTTCATAGGTGAGTGATTTGATTGATTAATTTGTTTTTTTTTCTTTGTTTATTTTTTGTTTTTTACAGTTTATCAACCTTATCCAGATAAGATTTTAGATTGTAAAAACTTTTTTAACATAATAATTAGTTACTGATACAAGTCTTATTTAATCCATAGCTGGGGCTAAAAAAGATGGATTCATGCCTTTCCCAGAGTGATTCACACGTAAGTGATTATAAGTAACCCGATTGGAATTGAGATTCGATTGCCGATTTCTAATGTCCGGCCTTTATTCATAAGCCTACCCATACATTCATACTTACCCCCATATAAGAATAGACCAGATTCGGCGTTGCTTAACTTTGGTGATCATACTGGAACGTATCTCAACGTGATATGGCCATATCCCTTCTTTCGGAAGGTTGTGTAACAATGCAACGGCCCTTGGGAAGAATGTGTCCGAATAGAACTTCTTCCTTACTAATGGAATACGAAGGGGATGAACATAGTTATCGCCCCCCCCCAACTCTGTATACATATGTCCATTTTCGTTTTAAAGGTCTGAACTAGTGGAACGAGAAAACTAGCTCATCAGACCATTTTTCATGAAATAGCGAGTTGAGTTAGCGTATAAAGTAATTCCACGACTACAAGGTCACGCAAAAGAATTTTTAGCTTGGTCGTGGCTGGAATGTGAGGATTGGGTAGCGCCAGCTGTAATTTTCTGTCGCGGTATGAGCCGAGGATTCTTCCAAAGTCTTTAGCTATGGATCGTATGGGGATTTTTTTGTAAGTGTAGCTTATATGTGGCACAAGGCCGAAAGTATGGAGTACCCAGTGAAAACCGGACTCACTTCTCAATCAGAATTGATCTAGCGAAACAAACTTGTTAACCATTACGCCACGTCGAAGTGCCCAAAAATGAAACATCTAAGCGTAGTTTACATAAGACACAAGGTCGAAAATATAGAGCACCCAGTGAAGAGCGAACTCACTTCTCAGTCGTAATTGATCTAGCGAAACAAACTTGTTAACCATTACGCCACATCGAAGTGCCCAAAAATGATTTTCTAATTACAGCTTAGATGTGGCACAAGGCCAAAAGTATGCAGTACCGAGTAAAAACAGAACTCACTTCACAGTCGTAATTTATCTAGCGAAACAAGCTTGTTAACCATTACATCACGTTGAAGTGGATCGTATATATGAGTTCCACTTAAGGTCTGGAGTGAAGAGATGTCCAAAGAAAAGACCCTATTTGAGAGTGCCAGCGTTTATTTTGATTAGTGAGAATTCAGGGTCAGTTGGGTGGTAAGGAATAGTTACTGACTTGGTTTTCGAAAATTTGAAAGTTACAAGCCAGTTTTTTTTTTTGCTATTAGGGAGAGTGGAAAAAACGCAAAGAATATTTGGTGGTATTGAGTAAATCGATGTCGGAACAAGGTTTAGGAGAAATAACAAAATGACAACAATTCTTAAGAGCTACGAAAGAACGGAAATCACTGAGAGCCTTAATTAGCTACGCCCTGAAGGGACACGGCAAACAAAAAAGAGATAGATTGAAAAGGTCTTTGAGGCAGGGAATAGCAAAAGTTGGTTCTGGTGCACTTCCCCATTTCTCTCAGTGGTTCTCAACCATTTTTGTCCAATTCACCCTTTTCACTATCAGTCAGAATGTCTCCCCCACCACCACTTTCTAAGATGGTTCAATTCAACAAACGGTACACTATTTACAATATTCGGACTATTATCCCCAGCTTCGTCGCCATATTCATTACAACATTTCAGCCTTTCAGTATCTGTCTATATTTCTGAGATGAGGTATTATGTACACTATTTACATTATTCGGACTATTGTCCTCAGCTTTGTTGCCATATTTATTACAACGTTTCGGCCTTTCAGCATCTGTCTATACTTCTGAGATGAGGTATTATGTACACTATTTACATTATTCGGACTATCGTCCTAATATTTGTCGCCATATTTATTACAACGTTTCGGCCGTTATACGCTTTGGCGTTTTTTAGGTGGTTGGAATGTCGAACTGAACCCTTTATTTCACTCACTGGGGTAGACTGTTCTTGTTCCACGTGCCATGTCTAATGGATGTCAGTTATAAGTTATCTCCTGTTAATTCACCTCACCGTTCTCTACTGCCTTAACCAGATATCGAACTCACACTCTTTGGTTCCTGTCACTTGATCTAACTAACTCCTTTATCCACTGTGCCATGTGTCCTCAATGACACATGGCACAGTGGATAAAGGCGTCAGTAAACGGCCGAAACGTTGTGATAAATATGGCGACAAAGATGAGGACAATAGTTCGAATAATGTAAATAGCGTACATAATACCTCATCTCAGAAATATAGACAGATACTCAACAAAAGGTGCATTTCAAATAAGAACTAAGACCTTCCGGATATGAGGAATTAGTTACAAATTCCGAATCAGGGGTTATATTTATATTAAAATAAAAGAACTGAAATCATGTTTAACATTTATTTTCAATGTTTTATAATAAACAATATAAACAAATGGTGAGTGAAATATAACGGAATTGATTTTAAGGAAAAAGAAATAAATTATTTAATGTTAATGAAAATTCATTAAATTAAGTATGCCACGTATGTAAAACAAATAATGGAACGAGGATTTTTTAATCGCTGTTGCATGATGATTCTTTCTCTTCTAATGTCATTCTCAACTTTTTCTGCATTTCGTTTTGCCTTTGTTCTTGACATTTTTCAAAAATGAAAGACACTTTATAACTCTGCGTGCATTATTGCAATCGTCATGGCTGTATGCTGGCTTTCTTTCCATAAAACTGACAACTTTTTCAATAGCTTTTTTCAATTTCAGTCCAGGTTTCACCACAATCATGTTTTTTATTTCCTTGTTCATTGTGACAGTGTGAACGCTGGAAAATAGTTTCTTTGGAAGATTTTATATCATACAATGTTGACTTTCCTATGTTGAACTCAGCCATTAGTTACAATGAACTTTCACCAGCGTCTAGTCTGTTTAAAATTTCCACTTTTTACGATAACTCCAAAGTTGTTCTTTTCCTCTTATTCCCATCATCTTTTGCACCAAATACAAGCCATTAGGGTGAAATAAGCATAAGCAATTATCCAAAGTAAATTTCCTGAAAAACAGAAATTTCAAATCAGTTACATATCACCCAAATAGTTCAAATATACACATCAAAATCATGTCCGGATATGCGAGATTCCGGATTTGAGGAATTCCGGATATGGGAGATTCCGGATTTGTGGAATTCCGGATATGAGGGATTCTACTGTATTATTGAAAATCTTAATTCTTTTCCACATATACATTTACATGGATTATTTTTCTAGAGGTGTTTTCTATTAGCAATAAAAAATGTTTATCGATTTTTAATCTTAATACATGTACAGTAGGAGGATTTAATTGGGAACAAAGAAAAGAATACTGAACTGCTATGTGATATATGTCTTCCTTTGCAGCAGCGAATGTTGAACGGTCTCCTCAAAGCTGAAACAGAAATTCGAGGCAATGGAGGTATGGTTCTACAGAAGGATGCTAAGGATATCATGCTAATGGTTTCCTCTTTCTCACTCCTCGATTGTAGAAATCAGTTCCTGTTTTTTTTTTTTTTTATTTCCTGTCATCTACGATTTTCAAGTGCAATATTATTCGTCATCTTCTATTGCCTTGGATCCTGTTCTTTTTATCATTCCCTCTGTTTCTTTCGCAACCCTTTGCAAATTAGTGGTTTTATTCTTTTGTAACAAAGAAAAGAGTTCTAAACTACTATGTGATATCTGTCCTCCTCTACGGCAGCGAAGGCTGGACGGTCTCCTCAAAGATGAAGTCTTTGTGGCATTATCGCCGTACTTAGGGGGTCAATTTATTAAAAAAATTCGTTAAAATCTTAGCATGCCGGGTTCAAATTTCGGCCTAGTCTAATACGTTGACTTTCTACAAATGACCTTAAAAATAAAAGGCATGAAACCAACTCACCTGTCCCCGTCTATGGGTGACGCAGTTTATTTTCATCAATGTTCTTGCAATTATCGCATCCTCTTCATGAAGGTCGTTGCTAATTGCTCTTCTTATGAAGTCCATGAGATTAATGTAGGTCTCATTCAAGACCCTTTTTCTCTGCTTTAAATTAATGGACATTAATTAGGTAGCAAAGGAGAGCGGGTAGACAGTACTAAGCATAAAGTACAAGAAGACATGATCATCAGTAAAGAGATGATCCCGAAATGCGATTTAAAAGGCCGGGGACACTAAAATTAAGCAGGTGCGGAAATCCAAATATCGGAGAAGTCTTTTGACAGAGAATGGTAAGTGCGACGCTAAGAACCAAAGACTTATCGGGATGGCCAAAGACGCATTCCAAAAGTTAGGCAGAGTATTACAACATAGGAGGATTTCTTTGGTTACAAAGAAAAAGAGTACTGAACTTATACGTGATATCTGTCCTCCTTTACGGTAGCGAATGCTGGACGGTCTCCTCAAAGATGAAGAAGAGACTCGAGGCAACGGAGGTACGGTTCTACAGAATGATACTAAAGGTATCATGGACCGAGCGTGTGAGCAACGATGAGGTTATGGAGAGGATGCAAAGAAGGAAGAATACTTAACATCAGGAAGAGGCAGCTAAAATTTATGAGAAATTAATGAGAAAGGAGGGCTCAGAGAATCTGATACTCACAGGTCTAATATAGGGAAAGAGAGAAAAGGGAAATCTACGCATAACATACCTGGCGGGGTTGCGCAAGTGGATGACAGAACATGTCTTGCAGGAAGTAACAAAGGGAAAAACTTATTGAGAGCTACAAGGGATAGGGTGAAGTGGAGGGCCGTGATCACCTATGTCCTGAAGGGATACGGCACATGAAAGAAAAAAATTGTTTTAATTGATAGCTATTTATTAAATATATATCGCCCGGTTCACAAACCTCACCGTTCTTTTGAACAGGAGCATAGGTTTATCCCTTGTTTCCTGTTTAGGATTAGGTTTCCGGTATTTGTAAAGAGTTTTCATTATGGTTAACTCCTTTGCAACTTAGTGGCATTATCGACTTGCTCGGGGTGAATTGATTAAAAAATTCAAAAATTATCTGAAGCATACTTCAATATAGAAAAAAGTTCAATAAAAGGTCAGGGTATTTAAATTGATTTTATTCTGATGAAGATTGCAGTCAATGAGAAACTTGTGAAAAAGTAACACATTCGTCTCAAGGAAATCCTGAAATTCCTCGTTGAGAATCCCCGATCATTAGTGTTTTTTTTTATTTGTCTATATCTAGGTATTATGATTACTTGCATTATTTACATTATTTGGACTGTTATCCTCATCTTCATTGCCATATTCACAACGTTTCGGCCTTTAGATCTCTGAGATGAGGTATTATGATTACTTACATTATTTCCATTATTCGGACTGTTATCCTCATCTTCATTGTCATATTCACAACGTTTCGGCCTCACGATCTCTGAGATGAGGTATTATGATTACTTGCATTATTTACATTATTCGGACTGTTATCCCCGTCTTCGTTGCCATATTCACAACGTTTCGGCCGTTGTACGCTCCGGCTTTCTTGAGGTGATTGAAATGTCTGTTTATATGAAGTATCATGATTACATGCATTATTTACATCATTCGGGCTGTTATCCTCATCTTCGTTGTCATATTCACAACGTTTCAGCGGTTATACGCTCCAACATTCTTCAGGTGATTGGAATATCTGGCTATATCTCTGAGATGAGGTATTATGATTACTTGCATTATTGATATTATTCGGACTATTATCCTCATCTTCATTGCCATATTCACGTTTCGGCCGTTGTGGGCTCCGGCCTTCTTCAGGTGATTGGAATATCTGGCTATATCTCTGAGATGAGATATTTTGATTACTTGAATTATTTACATTATTTAGACTGTTATCCTCATCTTCATTGCTATATTCACAACGTTTCGACCTCTAGATCTCTGAGATGAGGTATTATGATTACTTTCATTATTAGATTATTCGGACCGTTACCCTCATCTTCATTGCCATATTCACAACGTTATACAGAGATATCCTCAAGAAGTAGAAAAATCTACCCTAGTTCACAAAATTAATGGTTCGGTTCGAAATTCCAATCACCTGAAGAAGGCCGGTGCGTACAACGGCTGAAATATTGTGAATATTGCAAGGGAGATGTGGATAGCAGTCCGAATAATGTAAATAATGCATGTAGTTATTTTAAACCTTAATTTCAACTTCGGTTGAGAACTGATTCCTTCATTAGTAGAGACCTGTTCTTCCCCGGGGTTGCACTGACTAGGCGCATACAATAGAGCCGTTGAAATGATTATGACGTTCGCAATTCATTATAGCCGGTGTCTCTAGTCATTTTGATCTCGATTGACAAAGAATAAAAATATAAATTAAAAAAAAAAATACAGATTAATAAATCTTGGTAGGTCATCTACTTTTCTTTGAATCTTCTCAAAGTTATATAAATCCGATGAGAAAATTCTTGTTTTACTCCTCTTTCTATTCTTGTGCAAATGTCTAACTTATTTCTAATCCGTATACAGGCAGGTTGGTCCCATTAAATGCTGCAGATTATCGTAATATATTTCCTATATAAGTCGAACATATCAAAAGGTTTGATTTTGTGTCGTACCTTATCAATGAATTAGGGAATACAGAGCTATATCTACGTTGGGAACTCTATTTTCATGGCCATTTGTCAGAATTACCTGAGCTTATTACGTCTCTTAGCCCACTGACTTATTAACACTTAAATCCGATCTCAGCTAATGAAATTTTGGCGCAAATTAGTGTCATGGGTGCTTACCTATAACTACAGAATGAACTCTTCCTAACACTATGTATACTACGCCTCTCAAGAGAGAGGGTCGTATCAAGCCGAACTTCTTGGCTTGACAGTCGAACTCTCTGCCACTGAACAGAGAGGAACCCGGACGAGGCATTTTTTGGCCGAGCCTACGGACTCGGGAAACCCACGTTAAACTCGGCCTTGTGCTATATGCAACCCTCGTGGTGGGTGGCTAGATACCGAATCGAGTCGAGCTTCTCGGCTTGACGGTCGAACTCTCTGCCTCTGAGCAGAGAGGAACCCGGACGAGGCTCCGCCGAATCTCAGAGTTTCGTTTGGGGAGGTTGACCAACCCGATCCCGTTTATACCGGTTCTACGGGCATTTTTTGGCCGAGCCAACGGGCTCGGGAAACCCACGTTAAACTCGGCCTTGTGCCACATGCAACCCTCATGGGGTGGGGGGCTTGATACCGAATCGAATCGAGCTGATAGTATTTCACTCCAAACCAGACTGACAGTCATACTAACACCTTCCATATCTTGTGTTATTATTTCATGTAATATACCTTAGTTATTTCTACTCTTGTGTTTGTGTTGTTCTTCCTTGGTCCTAACAAGGACCATGACAGTGGCGACGAGGATATTGAAGAAACGAAAACTACGCGGAGGATATATATATATATATATATATATAAAAAAACCAACCTTTTTTGCTATCGGTCGTCCATAACAGAGGTGACGGAGATATTGAGAGAAAAAAAACTTTTTGGACACCAACCATAATAATTAGTACATTCATAAACTTGTAAAATCTGCAATAGCTACAACATATATATCTATCGATCTCTTCCTCGACTTTTTCCCGCCCTCTCTCTCTCTTTCCCTCCCTCTCTCTCTCTCCCTCCCCCTCTCTATTTCTTGGTCTGTTTTTTTTTTCTCTCTCTCTCTTTCTCGGCTTGTCGTTCTCTGTCTTTCTCTTTTTCCGCTAAAAATACAGGCAGATACGTTTGTGAAGATGTCTTCAAATGCGAAACGGAGACATCGTAAATTATAATGACGAAACGGAAGGCGACAGAATTCTTTCGCAGTTGCATGACTAACGTCAATGACGTCTTTATTTTACTTATTTTATTTAAGTTTTTTTTTATTACTTTTCTGCTTATTTATTTTTTGTTTGTTTTTTTTTTTCTGTTATAAATCACGGCTCTCAATATTCGACCACTCAAGAGTAAACGAAACCACTTCATAGTCGGTCGAAATCAGCCAAATCAAATTTAAAAAAAATAAACAATAATCAATTTTTTTTTTAAGAAAATTGCTTGGAGAAATATTTACCAATAAACGAGAATAGAAGTAATGAAACTCATGATATGACAACAAGGACTTAATAAAAGTCAAGTATTTTAATTCACTCTAACGTTTGCATCTACAGTGAAATAAAATATAGGAAAATCGTTGGGAATGGTTTTACTATATGAATACATTGGAAATGATTTTACTATAGGAATGTACGGCAAATGATTTTGCTATAAGAATGCATTGGAAATGATTTTAGTATAAGAATACACTGGAAATGATCTTAATATAAGCCTGCATTGAAAATGATTTTAATATAGGAATGCATTGGAAATGATTTTAATATAAAAACGCATTGCAAACAATTTTACTATAAGAATGGGTTGAAAATGATTTTAGTATAAGAATACATTGGATACATCGGAAATGATATTACTATAGGAATGTATGGCAAATGAATTTAGTATAAAAATGCATTGGAAATGCTTTTACTATAGCAATGCATAGCAAATGATTTTATTATAAAAATGCATTGGAAATGCTTTTACTATAAGAATACCTTTGAAAAGATTTTACTATAAGAATGCACTGGAAATGATCTTAATATAAGCCTGTATTGGAAATGATTCTACTATAGAAATGCATTGGGAATGTTTTTAATATAGGATTGAATTGGAAATTATTTTAGTATAAAAATTCATTTGAAATTATTTTACTGTAAGAATGCATTCGAAATGATTTCACTATAGGAGTGCATCGGAAATGATTTTAGTATAGAAATGCATAGGAAATGATTTTAATATAGGAATGAATTGGTTCACGTGTTCCATCCCAGACGTGAAACGCATTTTCTTTACTAAGATTTTCCCGAATGCTCAGGTCGACAGACGTAATGCACATTGTTTAATAGAAAAAAATATGACGTTTATTTCAAATACGAAGTATCAAATTTAATAAAGTTTGAAATGATATATATATATATATATATATATATATATACCAATTAAAGATCAAATGCAGGTCATGCATTGATTGGAATCCGATAAGATGATAAAATAAAAAACAAGTCGGAAACGTATATCAATTTAACATGTCTCAATTTTATAAACGCTTTGTCAGAGATTGAGAGTAAACAGATAAAAAGACAAAAAAAAATACGCGTATTTTCAATTATATTTCGGTCAGTTCTCATTGGTCAGATACGGGTCACGTGCATTAAAACTGTGGCTAATTTTCCGTCTGTAAAAATTCTTGTATGTCTAAGTGGACATCGGGTGTTAATGTGTATTCGTAATTGTGCATTAGTTATATATATATATATATATATATATATATATATATAAACTATATATATATATATATATATATATATATATATATATATATATACACTACAACATGTTTAACACGCAGACTCACTCTACACCTTACTGAAAATAGCTCAATTAGATCTCATTTAAATATTCATGAAGAACTACCGAACACTAATTGTAACATACTTGTTGACAACACTAATATAATAGCATCATCTACATGCAAAAAAGGCTAAAAATAATGGAAGCCTTATTAATAAAAACAAACAAACCAACACTTAATAATATTAACTTTAAACATGGACATAATATCTTGACCGTGTTTTGAAAAATGATACATTTTATAAAACATACATGCAACAAACTATTTCTTATTTAACAGTAAAAATATTTCATCCTTGAAAATGGCTAGAGGTATAGCCGAAAGCGCTCGTATAAAAATAACATTCGGACAGTTTTTATATAATTTATCATCTGAAAAGAAAAAATTATTCCAGGGTACCTTAACCATATAGTTGGCTTAAGAGATATCGATTCTAATACCAGTTCCTCAAAGTATTCCATGTATATATTGGCCATTGCTGGTGATAATGGCGAGTCCATTGCTAAGCTCACATCATATGTGTGATCCCATTCAGAAGTGTGTTGTTTGTGTACAGAAAGTCAACATCTCGATCAGATTATCTATTGGAATACTGGTCCGTTCTTCTAGGGATGAGTCAGAGGCCAATCTGTCTCTGACTATTGAGAGTGCCTCCTCCGTGGGTACCTTGGTGAACAAACTCATCACATCCAAGCTCATCATCTTGTTGGATAGGATGGGAGCATCTTTGATTATTTCCACGAAGTAGGCGGAGTTTCGGACATATGAAGGAAACTTTCCGATCAATGGGTCAATTATATCTACAAGGAAGCGACTCAGAGGGTGGCACACAGAGCCTTAGCAACTAACAATCGGCCTGAGCGGAACACCGTCTTTGTGAATATTAGGGAGACTGTATATGTGAGGTAGCTTGATGTAACGCTGCGATAACTGCCTATACGTCTTAGGTCGAAGTGACCCTTGTTCTTGATTAGTATCTGTGACAGTTTGCGTTCCGTTTTCATTGTAGGATCCTTTTTTTTACTTTGCTATAGCTACCATTGCTAATGAGGTCTTCCAGTTTTCTTGTATAATCTGATTTGTCCATCACTACAGTCGCATTACCTTTGTCAGCCGGTAGTATGATGATGTTTTCGTTCCTCTGTAGGGATCCGATCGCCAGCCTATCCAGTTTTGTTATGTTAAACCTAGGCGGCTTGGCCTTTTCCAAGGTCTGTCTCATCTTCCATCTCAGTTCATCCGCCTGAGCCTGGGGGATGTTCAAGGCCACCTCCTCGACTCTGGCAATGATGTCCAAGTATGACGCTCGACTGATGGTTGTGGCGAAGTTGAAACCCTTATTCAATACTGACTCCTCAGAGGCACTCAGCTGATATTGGCTGATGTTGACTACTGCTTTCACTGGAGGGTGATGGACCTTGTGCGTCACCTTCTGATCTTTCAATCTATTTAATTTTTTGTACTTGGCAAGTCTTGACTACATCGAATTCAAGTCTAAAGGATTTATCCGGGTCATTTTGGATCCTTCTCTAGTCTTCTTGAATACAACATGGGAACCAGTAATAAGGAGTGCCAGAGAAAAGCGATATTAACAACAAAACTTGCATTATGAGCTCTGGTAAAAACATGCAATGATGACAGCAAAAAATTGCAATATGAGAACTGGTAAAAATGCTTGCTGAAGATATTAGGTTTATAATACCCAGAAATTCATACACAGATGTCGTCAAGGACACATGGCACAGTGGATAAAGGCGTTAGTTAGATCCAGTGTGAGTTCAATACCCAGTTAAGGCAGTGGAGAACTTTCAGAAGGGAATTAACAGGAGATAACTGATGACTGACATCCAGTAAACATGGCACATGGAACAGTCTACCCAGTGAGCAAAATAAAGGCCGAAACGTTGTGATAAAGATGAAGACAATAGTCCGAATAATGTAGATAATGTACATAATACCTCATCTCAGAAATATAGACAGATACTGAAACATAAAAATGCCTTAAAAATAATTGTCGGACTTTGACCATTTCATAATGTGTGACGTCATTTGTTTACATTTGGATACGCATTGAGCAGATATGAATGTATGAGAGAAAATCATGGAAGATTGTAGTTTAAAGACAGTAAAATCGACCTTGTTAACCGAAATGCTCCTCTGCGGCCAAATCGGTTAAAGGCATGCCAGGCTATATGACGGTTCCGCATAGGACACAGGTTCGATTCCTGTCGGAAGACGCATATTTCCTATGACAATTTCTGGCCAGTAAATGTTGTTAATACTGTTTATTATAAACAGAGCATTTACTTAAATATCTGTATCTATAAAAAAAAAGAATGTATAAACATAAAAATGCCATATATATATATATATATATATATATATATATAAATAAAAATGGGTTACTTTTTAATTCGACAGATTTTATCACTTAAACGTCATTTTTAGTGAATATCAATATTTAAGTAGATGCTCCATTTATTTATTAAACAGTCGATTTATTTTCTTCTACCAGCCTGAATATTCGAGAAATGTTATTGGAGAAAAAGATGCGAAAATGTTGATTTAAAATTGCCAAAAATGACACTTTAATCATTAGGAATGAGTAATATATTTTTATGTAACTATTATAATAATATATTAGATCACAATTAAAAGGTTGATTCTAAAATTGGGCATTTTTCCGGTAAATCGAATACCATTTTCCAGTGTATACAGAGGGCGCGCCAGGTATTTAAAAACAGTAATCTGGGCGCCTGTTATAATAATATATTAGATCCTCACAAAAAGGTTGATTTAAAAATTTTTCCGGTAAAAACAAATCGGTATTTAAAAAATAAAAAAACTTAAATAATTGGAAATGAGTACTATATTTATGTGAAACTGTTATAATAATATATTAGATCACAATTAAAAGGTTGATTCTAAAATTGGGCATTTTTCCGGTAAATCGAATACCTTTTTCCAGTGTATACAGAGGGCGCGCCAGGTATTTAAAAACAGTAATCTGGAAAAAATCGGTAAGAAATTAACAAAGAAAACACTTAAATAATTGGAAATGAGTACTATATTTATGTGAAACTGTTATAATAATATATTAGAGCACAATTAAAAGGTTGATTCTAAAATTGGGCATTTTTCCGGTAAATCGAATACCATTTTCCAGTGTATACAAAGGGTGCGTCACGTATTCGAGAACAAGATTTTGGAAGTGGTTCATATAAAATTAACAAAGGATGTCCTTAAGTCATTAGGAGTGAATACTGTCTTTTATACAACTATTGTTATCATAATATATTAGATCGCAAATGGATTATTCTAAAATCAGGCATTAT